GAGGGTGGGGGGTGTTTAAAGAGTGTTTAGAAGGTCGTTTGCTAGGGAAAAAGCTCCTGGTTTTTAACTGCGTACGGGGGATCATTTGTTAGCTGCCTCCAGAGCATCTCTCAGCCCTGCAGCCGGGGTTCTTGTGGAAGCGACTGTGGCTCGAATTGACCGAAGGCAAAAACAAGTTGCCCTGTAGGTTCCAAGGCAGCACGGTGCATTTTGCTCCAGGGCGGTGTGCTGGCTGCATGCTATCACACCCGGTCACAGTTTTCTATACCCCGTCGGGCGAGCAAACAGCCTTGCGGTTATTTGCAAAGAAAAACCGTGCTCGGACCTGTTGTTGCATGGCAATGAACAGGAATTCTAGCGCAGTTTCCTGCTACCAAGAAACTAGAATGAAGCCGCGAATAAAATGACCGAGGAGCAGTGACTGGAGGGGGTTCATACACACACACATACACACACATACAAAATCTGTGTTTAAAACTGGAATAATTAAAACCGCCCCCCCCCCCCCCCCGCAGGGTAAGTTGCTCTGATGCAGCCAAAAATGTAAAAATAAAAATCCCTGCGCCCATTTATTTGGAGTTCAACCAGGGGTTTTAGTTAGATCTAAACCCATGTGTATATTCATTCCTCCCGTGCGGTCAGTGGATTCCTATGGAGAGAGATCTAAGAGAATCATGATTTTTTGTGTGTCTCTCAGGGGCCCGCGTTGCCTCTCGCTAGCGGCACAAGGGTCATGCCCACCCAACACATTGTGCCTGGGGGGGTATTATTTTTCTTGCAAGTTTCATTTTCGTTTATACCGACAGCGGGAGTGTTTCTAGGTTCGCCTTAGTTCTAGGATCCGTGCTCTCTCTCGCTGCTTCCCGACAGACGTTGGGGAAGAAGGTGCTGACGCCCCGAGTTGGGGTGAGCTTTATAACCCCCTTGAAAAACTTTGTGTTCTCTCCTTCCTGCGCGTTTCTGGGTGGGGGGGTTTAAGGATCTCGCCACCGGGCAGAAACTTTGCACCAGCTCAGGTGTTGAAAATAATTTCTCAGGGCTTTGGGTTCGAGAGTTGTGGCGTATTTCAACTTGATCTCCTCTGCTCCCGATGACTCTAGGAAATCATAAACACCTCGCCAGGCGCCCTCCCTCCCCCCCTGCCTGTGCACGGCAGCCGGGCTATCGCGGGGTGGTGAACGCAGGGCGACTCCAGACACGGCGGAGGGGAGATTTTAAATGCCTAAGGAAACGCATCCAGCAAAACCCTCCCAACGCCAAGCGCTGCCTAAAATGAATGACTTGGAAATGCTAAGGAAAGAGCCTGCTCACAGAATTTCACGCGGAAAGCCCCGTGTTTGCCCTGGCGTAGCGGGGTGGAGGGTAGAATCAGCTCAGAGCTTTTCAGGGGTGTCCATAGGCGCCCAGCCTGCCGGGAGGATGTTCTCAGAGGTGATGCCGGAGCAGGCGGGGGAAGCAATGATCCGGTGTTTTGTCTATTTGAAGGAAGCTGAAATCCCCCAGGAGCTCATCGAGAGACTGGCTCACAGCGAAATCCACAGCATTCGCGATTTGCAGCGCCTCCTGGAGATTGATTCCGTAGGTAAATTATTCTCTTTCCTTCCTTCCCTTTTTATTCCACTGTTCAGAGGGGTGGCACCTGGCCCCACAGATCAACACGTGTCTGTTTGTGGGGATGGCTTTAAAGAGACGTTTTCTGACTATTCCATCCACTCGTCTCCAACAGCGCTGGGTGGGCCGACAGACCTAGCCCCAAGATTAGGGTCCAAAAGCAGGGAAGTCAGAGGAGGATGAATCAAGCATTTCTTCCCAGTTCCAGCAATGGTTCTTAGGAAAGTCTAAGAACAGTTACTCCAGACCAGGATTCATTTCCAAACAAGGAATTTATTTAAAAATGAAATAATCCCAGAGTGAGCAGACATGAAATAAACGCGGTGCACTTTTTTTTCTCGGTGTTATATTAATGTGGTGACTTTTGTACTGTCAGATCTCTTTATCAGCAAAAACAGAATGTCCCTAACATTTATTGTGCTTATTCCACTGCATGATTATCTTGAAACAACTGTCTGAGAGTCATTTAAAATATTTGAAACAATATTTATGAATGAAGTAATGTCTCTTCAAGGCCTGGGCTTATTGAAAGGCAAACAAACTGTCTATACTGATTTTAAACAGGAACCTTCCTATGGAGCTTACAGACACTCATTCAGAAGAGAATAGCAGGAGGTTATTTTCTGCACCATTAAGCTTTGTGGGGTTGTTGGATTCACTAATGTTCTACACTGGAACAAATCATTGCAGTATTTATTGAATCAAACCTCAGAATCAGATGCACTTAGCTGTTGGTGGTTTCTTCAGTTAGTTTGTGAAAGAATAAAGCAAACAGACACATCCTTTCTGAACCAAAGGTAAAACTGTACCTTTCTAAAAGCACAAACAGAAAGAGAGTGAGATGTTGTGTGCATTGGTATTAGGAGATCTCCATTTAAACCACATGGTGAGCATTTGGGTAAAATAGCCACTAAGCTCAATCACTTTCTTTCAACATCTTTTTAAACATTAACTTGTCTTATTTTTTAATGAAGTAATAGTGAACAGAAATGTACCAGAAGCAGTTTACAGACACAGCTTTCCTTTTTCATGATGTTGAGCAGTAACTGGTGTCCCATCCCATTAAACTCAAGTTCAAATACTCTTCTTTTTCATACTGCTTTGCCATAATGTCTGATTATTATTACTGTTAACCCTTCTTATGAAGCCTGATTTTGGATTGGGCTACAATTTTTAGACACACAAGTTTTGCTCTGCTATTTGTCCCATTGGGATTAAAGAAGCTTCACAGTTGGGATAAAATAAGGAATCCATATGGCCCCATGTAACATTATGCTTTATACCATACAAGTGCACAAGGCCCTTATCCTGATCCCATTGGAGTCACTGAATGTTTTAGTTACTATGGCAGATGGAGAGAGGCTTGGGAATTTGAACATAGTTTTTATTTCCCGTGCCTTTGACTCAATAATTGGTAGATACAAGAATATATTGTTTTAAAATATGTCAGTGAATGGAACGGAGCAGAGGAAATTATTCCAGGCTATAATTACTTATCTAATTGCAAATATCAAGCAGAAACAGTACTGAAAAATGAAGAAAGTTAACCATAAATGCATTATTTCATTTTGCTGTTTTACTGCAAAGCCTCAGTTAGAAAGCACCACAGGAAGAGGAAATATAAATATTTTAATATTTGAACATGAAGCATTAATATTTTAGGGCATGAATTTATAAAATTCCCCACTAAGGATCCAGTCCTACGCCTTTATTTTTATTTCTGTGAGTAGCATAATGGTTTCAGGATTCAGGTTTCAGCCCTGCTGGAGGTAGTCAGTCATTTACAATCTCAGTGTATGTCTAAATGCATCCCTGGACACGATCCTGTGACCTTTCCTTTCATGAGTAATCCTTAGACCTCAAGTATTATTATAGTTATACAAAATCAATTACAATTGAATGCAGTGGGCCTACCTTTGAGATAAGAGATTGCAGGATTGGGTGTGTTTATTTTATGTCAGGTTAGCATAGGCTAGGAAGTCAGATGTCTGATAGTTAGCACTACTAATATTTCACTCAGTACTCTTTCAGTTTAATACATTTGTCACTTAGGGTAATGAGTGCATTTTAAAAGGGTTGGTTCAGTTACCATCTATGCAGCAATTATGTTAGTTTTTTTGTGGCATTTAGTCTGTTAAATTATGGAGCACACAAAAACCCCCAAAACCAAAAAACCCCAAACAAAACTCCACACAACCCATCCAATCATTTCTTTCTCCCTCTCTCTCCTTTTAGTGCATAATCTTCCAAATCCTTTCTCAAGTAACTAGCTCTATTAAACTCAAAAGGTCTACTCAAGTGAATTATAATTACTCTCTTGGGAAAGGACTTGCAGAAGCAAACCTCCATGCAGTAAATGTCTGACTTTCCTAAGGAGCATGTAGCTCAGTAAGGGGCAGAGTCAGTGGAAACTGGAGAGAGAGAGACAGAGAGAGAGAGAGAGAGGTCACTTTCTCTTTCACACTGTAAAACAAACACAGTATATGTTTTTCACAAGTATGTCTTGTAAGTCACAATGGGCAGCTCTTTCTTGAATTCTGACAGATTTTGACTCAATATTGTACTGCAAGGATGATTGATAATCCCTTCATAAAATTAGAAACCAACCCCCACACCATCTGGCATATTACTTAAAGAAAAAACATTTTCCAAGATGGTGCTTATCAATGTTTTCAATAAAGAAAATCTGGGCCAAATTCTCCCTTTGAGGCCTGATCTCCTTACTCTAAGAAAACTGCCATTGAAGGCAACAGAAATGTTGTTTTTGTAAGAATCCTAAAAATAGGCCCTTATGAAAATTACATTGGTATAAATGCATTAATTTCCACTGAGAGCAGAATTGAAGCCTGCCTACTTAAAGTATATATTGTGCATAATCCCAGAAAATAAATATCTCTTCCATTCAAGGTCTACAACTTCAGTACTAATAGCTAAGAGTGAGTTTATACAGCACCCTAAACTCGAAATAAGATATGGTAATTGAGATGCAAATCGATATGCTAATTGATATGCAAATTGTGTATCTTATTTTGAAACTTTTTTGAAATTTAGCACATCTACACAGCACCAAATTTCAAAATAACACGTTATTTTGAGCCATTCCTTATCCCTCATGCAACGAGGTTTACTGGGATGACAAAGTAGTGTGCCCATTATTTCGAAAAATATTTCAAAATAATGGGAGGCTCGTGTAGATGCAGGGTAGCTATTTCGGGATATCTCCACTATCCCGAAATAGCCACACAGTGCTGACATACCCTAAGAGAGTATTCACTGTAAACAGAGGCATTTTCTTTACTGTGCTTGTAAAATCTCTTTGGCTAGCTGTGTAGTTCCGGTTCTTAACATTCACACACAGCCTTCTTCTCCCTCTTCTCCTGTGGGTGGTGGAGTTCACTTCATCATCTATTAGATTTGCCTCCTGCCACATCCCTGCTTGTGGCCTGAGATGAGAATCTCCCCTGAGAGGAAACAATAGTTTCCCTGTACTAGTGGATGATGCTGGTGTAAGAGTGTCAACCAGGAAATTGTAGTGCTATTATAATGCTAAATTTTATTGGCATATTATAAAATAACACATACACATGGAAGAATCAGTATTTTGTTAGTTCATTAAATCACAAAGAGCCTAATTCACTGACATCTCCTGTAGACTTTGGTGGTCTTTGGACCACACGCCAGATTAAAAATGGACAAGGATGCAAATACTATCTTCTATCAGTCCAGCTGGAAACAGTGCAGGAGGCAAGCGTTTGAGAAATGTCTCTATTTTGGGCTCTTTTCCCCTTCCACAGACATAATGTAGGGAATGTGGCTCTGGAAAGCTTATATTCTATAATGTTATTCTTTTTAGTTGCTAAATTACAATTCTTTAAAGAAAAATGCATCTTACATGTTGCTATTTTAATATCTTTTTGGTAGATTAAAGTTACCTTTCAAATTTAAGGCCAATATCTTAGTTTGCACGTCACAAGAGCATCCTTTACACCAGATAAAAATATGATCAAGAAGTATAATTTTGCCTTGGGCTTTTGGGAGTATGACTGATTTGCAAGAGAAATTATATTTGTTATTGTCTATTGTATTGAATTCCTGAAAGAGAGACAATGAAAATTGCATAAGCTGAGGACGATACCAGGAATTTTGGGTCTCCATTTTTTGTACGCACATTGAGATGACATTTATTTAGCAGAATACAAGTAACCACTTTATTTAGGACTGTACCTTATGCACAAAAATTACATGTGAAAATAAGGACACAGTACAGATATTTAAGTATCTATATAATAGTTGCCTGAGTTTTAGGGCACTTTTCACATACTTGTTTAGAGAATATAGTAATCACATTATTGGCAGAGTGTCATAGGAATGCTGAGATTTATGTATTGGCTATTCCGTGACATAGTGGAAAAATGCCAGTCTGACAAAAAGAACAATTTCAACTACATTAAGGGACTGACCAGAGCTAATTGCTAGAGTTTTTCTACCCATCATCAAAATGTTGTCAGAGCATCAGGGCATAAAAGATTAAAGAGAAATTACTTGATCAACTGCCATGAAAACATTTGTTTTGTCAAATGAACCATCCCATCTTAAAAGAGAGCTACATGCATCTTGCTCAGCCCAGCATTCTCGAAGTTGAATTAGCGACCAGTGCTTTTCAACATCAGCAAACTGGGAATCATTCCTTTCTTTTATATTCACCTTTCTCAACTCTCTGCTCTTAAACCCTAATCTTGAAAGGTGCTTAGCATCCACAGCTCCTGGGGTATTTCTACACAGCAGCGTTATTTCAGAATAATGGACGTTATTTTGAACGTATTGCGTGTCTACACAGCAAGCCTGTTATTTCTAAATAAATTTGAAATAACGGACTTCTTACTCTGACTTTGGTAAATCTCATTGGATGAGGCGTAAGGGAAGTTGGAGGAAGAGTGCTCTATTTTGAAATAAGTGCTGTGTAGATGTGCCTAATTTCAGAATAAGCTATTTCAACTTAATCTTCGCAATTAGCGTAGCTCAAGTTGTGTAGTTTATTTCAAGTTTAGCCCAGCTGTGTAGATGTACCCCCCTAGTGACCTCATAGGGAGTTGAGGAAACTATGCATTTCTATGCCATGTGGAATCCTGCAAATTCATTCTCTTGATCAGTTTTATCTTGTGTGAAAATTGACGTAATTTCTGATGCCATTAGTTTAGGAGATTTTTTTTCTCAAATTGCAAGTTTTATTTTCATGCTTCATCGATCAACAGGAGACTTCTGTTCCGGATTGGTAAAACAGTTTTGTTCTAACTATGAAAATGGTAAACATTCCCCTTCTTCCATTGATTTCAGTGGAAGTTAGGAGGACCTTAAGTACCTTTGTGGACCCAGACGCCAATAGGGATACAATATCGGCCAACTGCTTTCAGCACTTTAGCACAGTTATCTTACAATAACCACAATGCTGCTTAGACAAATACACCAATGGTGGAGTGAAAAAAGCATTTTGTATGCATGTTTCATAATGCTTTTAGATTTCAGTGGAACTTGTTTTACAGGTCACTGTGATAGCAGAAGAGTAGCCCTACTTTTTTTTTCTCATCAGAATTGCACCCAGCTGGACATATGGTTATCAAATAATTGCATTTTACAGTAATAACTTATGATACAGTACAAGTCAAGGGCCTGCAGCACCTTACAACTTATCTTACAATAAGCACATTCCCCAGCATGTCATTTTGCTTGTAACCTGATGGTAGACTAAGGATAAATGGATCTGAGTTGTGCAAGTGTGGTTTCAAACTCATGGTTTAACATAGTGGTTAGCTGGTGAAATGATTTTCTCAATCATACCTGATTCATAAAGCATCAGTCGGAGGAGTATGGGCCTAGGAAGGGACAGATGATTGGAATCTGACACTGAGGGCTGCTATACTGCTAGCATCACAACCATTTCTTTTTTCAGCAAGATGGCTGCTACCAGCAGGAGGCTAGCCTCAGGAGTGTCAGTTTCACAGACAGTCTTGACTTTTAAAACACTGTTTGCAGGCAAGCAGAATGGCTTTGCAGTTTGCACCCTGTACAAGGCAGGGTCTTGCACTAAGCAAGTCGAATACAGCTTGCTTTTGACTTATAGCTGCTTGCATCAAGGAGAGAGAGATAGTCAGCGCATAAGGGAGATCACTATGGGTTTTGTCCTGTAACGTGGTGCAGATCCCATTGAATAAAAATGATGGGCCAGACACTCAGCTAGTGCCAATTAGCATAGCTTCCCTGATGTAAGGTGGAAGGATGGCTACTGGCAATGCTGTGGGACTTGAGAGACCTGGCTTAAGTTCCCAGTGCAGCCATTTACTTTCTAGATAAGAGGTGGGCAAGAGCACCTCCGCGGGTTGCATCCAGCCCTCCCAAGTCGATGGATCCAACCCATGGTCGCCCTGCCACTTCCCTGTTCCCAAGCCTATCGAGACCGGGGGAACGCACAAAGTCTCCTCCCCCAGCCTGGGGCATGCAGCATCAGGGGGAACTGCCAGCTGTTTTAAAACAGCCAGCGGTTCTCTCTAGCTGCTGTGTGCCCCTGGCAGAGCCAGGGGGCCAGGGACTGATTGGCCTGGGAGCAGGGAGGGCATGCAAAGACTCCTCCCAGCCCGGCGCCTAGAGGGACCTGCCAGCAGTTTTAAAACAGCTGGTGATTCTCTCTAGGCGTTGGGGGCAAATACTTCACGTGTTCCCCCACCCCCAAGACCAATCAAAGTCTGCGGGGGGAGCACGAGAAGTATTCTGGCCCCGCCCCTTTTAGGGCGGCCTCGGGCCACTTCTGAAATTGGTGAAGTGGCCCCCTTTTAAAAATGATTGATTGCCCACCCCTGTTCTAGATCAGTGGTCTCCAGTCTTTTTAAGCATGGGATCACTTTTTTAATTTAAATGCAATCCAGGATCCACCTCAAACCCAAATACCCTTGCCCCGCCTCCTTCCTGCCCCTTCTCCAAGGCCCCGCTCCTGCTCACACCATCCTCCCTCCCTCCCCCATCCTCACTCACTTTGATCAGACTGGGGGCAGAGGGCTGGGTGCGGGGGGAAGGAGATGCAGACTCTGATCTTGGGCTAAAGGATTTGGAGTGGGGGAGGGGTTCTGAGCTGAGCCTGGGACAGGGAGTTGAGGTGCAGGAAGGGGTTCAGGGTACAGGCTCTGGGAGGGAGTTCGGGTGCAGGGGGACTCAGGGCTAGGGCAGTGGTTTAGGGTGGAGAAGGGGTTCAGGACTGGGGCCGGGGTTTGGAATGTGAGCTCCAGCTGGGCACCACTTACCACAGGTGGCTTCTGGGTGGTAGTGCAGGGAACTTAGGCAGGCTTACCCCTACTCTGGCCCTGTACCACTCCCAAAAGCAGCCAGCACACTCTCTTCATCCCTGGCACTCTCCCCGCTTTGTGAAGATGGGATACAGGATGAGAGGAGGGACCCCCTGACATCAGCACTCTCTCTTCTTCTTCCTGTGCCCTGCACTAAGCAGGAGGCTCCCGGGGCTGGTGGGGCAGCTCCAAGGAAGAGGGCAGGAGCAACACGGCTGTGCTTAGAGGGGCAGATGAAGGGCCAGCACTTGACAGCCTCCTGTCCAAACCTGTCAGGATCACCTGTCAAAGGCTCCAAGATCTACCAGTAGATCCCGATCTACTGGTTGGTGACCACTGTTCTAAATGATCTTGGATATGTCACTAATTCTACTCCATGCCTCAGTTTCCTATCTATAAAATGGGAACAATATTTCTTTACTCTTTATGGGTATGTCTACACTACCCTCCTAGTTCGAACTAGGTGGGTAGTGTAGACATACCCAAAGGGTGTTGTGAGGCTAAAAGCCATTGGTGATCACTTCTCTTATGAAGGCCATGGAAGTGTGGATAGGGTTGAAAGGGCTATACTGATTTATATCAGCCCCTCAAGAGTAATCCCCATTGTTTTAGGAAATCAGCAGGATTAGCCAGCAGATGTGTGGAAGTGTTTGCTGGAGGCTACAATTGCATAGCCTGCTTAGTCTGCTTTTTTTCCCTTATAAGATGATGCCAATTTAAAAAGAGGAATTACACACTTGAGGGCATGTGGTTCCTTCTAGGGTGCTGAAGGCACCTGGTCTCTGTCTTTCTGTCTCACTATGCACCCGAGGCATGCAATTATTTCACAGCCGCATGCTCAGTTGGGTGTGATTCCTTGTGTATGTGTGTGTGTGGGGGGAAGAAGTTAGTTTATTTATAGAGCAACCATGTGTGATCCATACTGTTAACATAGCTGAGTATAAAACAGGTTCCACTACAGTCTGGATACATTATGAAACATGCATATAAATGTACTGGAAGCGGAAAGGACTGCAAAGTTTAGAAAGCGTGCAAAGCTGTAGAAAATAGGAGACCATTTCATGCTGTTAGCAAGCAGAGAGTGTAATTGATTTTTTTCGTATACCACCCCCTTGCATTTTTATGCATATTATTGTTCTCCTTGAAGGCATTGGTGAGACCTGTGAAACATCCCATCATGTCACAGAGGGCATCCCAATAGGCAGATTACCGCACATCTCAGATGTGTTGGAATTTAGCCACGTTTCATTCTGCATTTTGTTTATATACCAACAATACAGTAAGGGAGTGCCTAGACTACAGGTTTTTTTTAAAAAAGTGGACTTTTTTTGAAAAAACTTCCCCTGTGTCTAGACTGCTGCCGCATTCGTTGAAATTAAATTGAAAGAACGCGGCGTTTTTTTCGACCGCGGTAAACCTCATTTTACGAGGAAGAATGCCGTTTTTCGAAAGTGCTCTTTTGAAAAGAAGTATTCTTGAATGCCAACAGGGCTTTTTCAAAAGAGAGCAGCTCGCTTTTTCCAAAGAAGTGGTTGCAGTCTAGACGCCCTCTTTCACAAGAGGCTTGTAGTCTAGATGTAGCCTAAGTGTGTGCTCAAAAGAAACCCACTGCATAGGACATGACCTGGGACTGCTTCACATAACCAAATAGTGAAGCGGTCATGTTGCTGTTTTATATGATAAATGAAATGCCAAGTTTTCCATCTTTGTTTTTTTCTCATGGCCCTTTAACCCATGTGGCAGGCTTACTTAGGGAACAAGACAAGTCTGGATGTAATCCCAGAGTCTGCAGTAGCTTCAGATGCCCCTCCAAAGGTTAGGATACTTCACAAAGGATTTGTTCTGCAAGAGAGAGACCAAAGGGAAACCCATACGAGTTCTTGCTTGTGGTTGAGTTTTCCAGACAAGACAAAGGTTATTAGAACAGCATTGTTAGCACAACACTATATTTTGTATTGTGGACTCACATCAGAACTCTTGGAACTTCTTAGACAAGAACTTCAATCTGTGTATCAGCATCGTGAACTATTGTTATTCTAATTTCTATACTGAGTTTAATTTAGAAAGTTTATTATGCCTTTGACAGGAAAAAATGCAGCAGAATTAAAACAGAGCTGCCCTAGTATCATAGAACACACAGAGTTTCCATATTTCCCCCCCCAAAGCAAATATTAAAGAGTTAAAAATGCATATATTTGTATGAGAAATTCTGGATTAAATTCTGCTGCCCTTATGCCCCTGCAATTTTATTGGCAGGAGTCTCATAGGATTGTAGATAAAGGCAGGATTTGATCCTAAACGCATGGCTGATTCATATGCTTGTACATTAATGGAGCATAATTAAAGTGACTTTTGTACTACTGTGCTTATGACACAGTTAAGGTCTGATATTGTGTTTTCTACTTTAGGTTATGACGATGTTTCAGAAACAAACTTGAGATCTCATAGTGTTCATTCGGCTAAACATGTTCAAGAGAATCACCTTGTACCCATTCGCAGAAAAAGAAGCATTGGTAAGAAACAGCAAGCTATTTGTGCTTACAGAACAAAATCGCAGGGGCTTCTTTGATTAGTCATGCAAGACACTTCATTGTGCAAAATAAAAAGTAGAAAGTAAAATGGTCTTTTCCTCTGAGTATGTCACTTTTCCAGAGTCAGTTGTTGCATCAGTCACCTTCTGCCGGGTAATCTATCCACAAGAGACAAGCATGAATAAATTCTTTACATTCATTTTCTTGTTGCAGCATGTTAAAAGGGAGACCTTACTTAGAAAATGTGGCAATATTCAACGTACAATTCATAGCGTGGGGAACAACTACTGCAATTTGCTTTAAAAAAAACATCAACAGTTGGTAGAGTTTTCAGTACAGAAGCTCTAGGAAAGGAAACAGCTTGACACTTTAATTTAAAACCATTTTATCCAAAAATTGAGAGCAAGACTGAGGTGCTTTGACATTCATTTCCATCATTACACAAGGTACCCAGGCATGTTTACAAGGTATTTTTCTAATAAATATTAATAATGGTTTCAAACAAAAGCCTGGATATAAAAAGAAAGATGTTAATTGACTTCCAAATGTCATTTTTATGCAACAACACTTGTTACAAATGATTGCATCTTGCTGATTTACCATTTAACTTATCTTTTGGAAACATACATGCTTTTGTATGCTGTGGGTAATTCCTAATCCACATGTTTGAACTTTAGGCTAAGATCCCGTGAAACATAGAGCAGGGCACATTGTCAGAATGGATTTGCAGTGTGAATTGGCAACAGCATAAACACACCAAACGCCTCTAGAGAACAATGCTTCTGAAACCACCTGCTATATTTGGCACCTTATTCTTATCCATTTAGGCTTTGTCGACGCACCATACAGCATTTAGCATCACAGCCATGTCAACATAGCCGTATCACTAAAAGTCAGCCTCTGTTTGTTGACTCCTTTGCCGACAAAATACTTTCACCCCCAACAACAATTCACTGTTCATGTGGCACTTGCAGTGGCAAAACTTTTGTCTTTCAGGGGGACGGGGAGGTGAGTGCCCCATAACGTGTCAGCCATGGAAATGTCAGAATTTTCATGAGCTGCCTGGTATCATGCACTGTCAGGCCCTTAATTAGTATAGTTAACAGTATTATACAGAGTGAGAAGCATGCTTCTTATGCTGTAATACTTACCCACCCTACAGAGTTGTTCTTAAGTTTCCTCTGGGGGATTGCCCATCACAATGGAACTTTCCCCAAAACAAAGCAAAGCAAATGCGATCCTAGGCTTTCAAGTTATGGGTTTGGGTCAGATCACTTTTTCTTCTTGTCGTACTTATGTTGACGGTACTGAAGAGCATTCCGTCTTCATCACAGCCCAACAGGAAGGCAAAAAACAACCTGCCTTCCACTAATTTCTCACCATTTAAATTTCCTCATTGGGGTTGCCATAAGAGAGATTAAGCGTTGTTATTAGCCCATCCCATCCTGGATCAAGAATGTCTTGAGTAGTCCTACCTCTTATCATCCCAGGCTGCAAGATATCTCCGGTTGCGGGTCCTGGATTGTTCATATGTCAGCTTAATGCACTGTGACTAAACTGTCACCTAGCAATATCTCATTACATTGCTTTATTGCACAGCAAACATTAGACAGCTCACCCTCAAATGCCTGAAACCTTCGTTTGTAAATGGTCTTTCAGCGCCAGGAAATTGCCGTAGATTGAGACCTGATAAAATAATTTGCTCAGCTGAACATAGTTTTATAGTCTCTTTGGTCATGCTAGTCTCATGGTTTCACTTTGTTAACATATCAAGCCTGGGATTTGCCCAGCTTCAGTCAGAAAAAAAGGACCTGCTGCCATTTCTATGACAGCTTAGTGTTAAGACCACGGCAGAACTGAAAGCCGGAGAAGGTTGTGTCAGAAACATAGGGATGGTGCATGAGGTACAAATCACAGAATCAGATTGTGTGCAGTTTATTAAATGTGCTTTGTATGTGTGAAATATACATAGATGCACATTATGGTCCTTAACCTGCAAAATAGCAAAGCTTCCCTTGACTTGGTGGTTCGGGACCAGTCCCTATCCAGCTATCTTCTCAGGAACTATTACGAGAGTGAGAGGTTCAAACCGTCCTTGCCCACTATGACCTTTCAGACCATCTGCAGCTCCTATTTGTATGTGCAGGCTCTTGAGTGGTGTAAAGTAGGGACGTAAAATCCCATTTAATTGGCTAACCAGTTAAACATATTGTTTAACTGGTTAACTGATTAAAGGGTGGGTGTTCCAGCCCAGTGGAAGTGTCCCCTCCACTCGCTGCTGTCCTAGAGTGCCCACCTCCCACTCACTGCTGTCCTGGAGTGCCCCCTGCCCATTGCTGGACTGAAGTGGCCCCCCCTTGCCCACTGCTGGACTGGAATGCCCCTCCCCACTTCAGGCAGGTCCTACACCGACTGGGTTGGAGCAGCCCCTATCTGTGGGAGGCCCCCTGCAGGGCTGGAGCAGCCCTCTGCCCCAGCCCCCACCGGTTAACCTTAACTGATAAGCTGAACCCATTAAGGTTAAACATTCACCTTCCTAGTGGAAAGCCCTTGTCTTGTGATCTGGGTGTTTGCAGGAACTCAGACTTCACTCTGGGCTAGCGTGCACAGTTGAATGGGAAGCAAGCAGAGCAGCCTATCCAAGCCCAGCACAAAGGCTTATCATTCGCGTCAGCAACAGGAGCGTAGAGCACCTGTTGCAAAAGCCTGGGTGGGAATCACTCTGACGTATGTGGCAGTATAAGCATGTGTGTTCCAAAGCGAGAACAGCTGTTCATCTGGAAGTGTGGGTTCTTCTGTTTCTAACACAGTTGAATGGGAAGCAAGCAGAGCAGCCTATCCAAGCCCAGCACAAAGGCTTATCATTCGCGTCAGCAACAGGAGCGTAGAGCACCTGTTGCAAAAGCCTGGGTGGGAATCACTCTGACGTATGTGGCAGTATAAGCATGTGTGTTCCAAAGCGAGAACAGCTGTTCATCTGGAAGTGTGGGTTCTTCTGTTTCTAA